ATCCGCGTTCTCCGAGGACAGGACAAAGGACCGAGGCGTCACTGCGAAGCAAACAGCTCGGTCGGCGTCGGTGGCTCCAAGCGCGCACCCTACCATTTCTAGGGGGAGCCCCCCACCCCGTGCCTGAGTGGAGATGCAGCAGAGACGGAAGAAAGACAGCAGCTGCACAGGGAAAAGGGTGCCCAAGGGAAGGGAAAGGTAGGCTCCACAGCTTGTTTGTGGGAGTCAGGGGTTTGATCAGCCCCGCCCAGTAGGAGCAGTAAAGTGCCGCTGGGTTTAGCCAGTAGAGAGCAGTAGTGTGCCGCTGGTTTGCCGGTAGAAGAGCAGTAAAAGTGCCACCGGCTTTGGGAAGTTTATGGAAGTTTATGGGTAAAGGGGATTGGGGAGGTGCATGGGGTTTGTATGTGTATGGGGGTTTGTATGTATGTGTATGGGGACACTCCAGTGAATGTTTTGAGTGGATGAGACGCTGGGGCTCAGAGCCACTGACGAAGTGAAGTGTGGTCCTTGTAAGGTGCGGTTCCTAGCGACGCGAGTCCGTCTAGGCCACTGACAGGATGCGGAGAAAGGTGACTGAGTGGGAAATAACGTTAGGTGGACGGAGTGTCTCAGAGGTTAAGGGAACGAAAAAAGAAAAAAAAAGAAAAGAAAAAGTAAACCAACCCCCTTGCAGTGTTTGTTCTTTTTGGACAATTGGAAATGTCAAGCTACAATTAAAAAAACCCCTTTAAGCTCCTTTCTGTATTCTGGCAGTAACCAGCATAGGTGCGTCCAGTTGGCTTGTATTGTATTGCCAACACGTGGGGTCCGGGGAAAAAAAGGAAAAAAGATATGTGCTCTGCAGATATAGAACCCTGCATGAAGGGGTTCTCAATTCTGCCACATTCACTGCGCTGCATGTTAGGGGATTGGGAAACAGACCTTAAAACACCTAGAATCTTGCAGAGTACAAGTATAAAAAAAGGATTATTTGGTCTTTAACATTAAAAGTGACATGAGTTGCTCATGAGGTCAAATTTTGTGTTTTCATGTTAAAGGTGGGAAGGTTTCAATTACTAATACAATCATGTAATCATGTACTGGTTTCAGAATTTGAATGTCATCAATTCACTGTGCTTTGAGCTACCTGGTATCTTAATGTTTTTGTTAATAGGTTTGTTTCTTATTGACTGTTGCATAAGGTACCCTGGGTGATTTAGAAACCACTTGTTAAATGTTGATCAAAAGTAAAAATGTACAAATGTATGGGAAAAGGTAGTGTTGTCAAAAGAGATGGGGTTTTAACCCCCCCATCCCATGTTCAGACAGATGAGAAGAGAAGTAAGAGGGTTACGGGGACAAAGCAGTAAACCATCCCCCTTGCAGTGTCTGTGTTTAACACAGAAACAAAGACGCTATGCAGCCCTTGGTGGAGTCTGGAAACCAGGTTAAAATGGGGCCAGAGAACACTAAGGAAAATTACAAATTACCAAATATTGCATAGCAATATTTAAATTCAACCAAAATTGATTTTTGCACTACCTTTATATTTTTGAAATGCGTATAATATTTTTATTTGTAAAAGGGATGAACAATTGTATGAAGGTGAAGTAGTGGTCTGTCGGAATATGTCGGAAGGAAGGAAGGAAGGAATATGTCGGAAGGAAGGAAGGAAGGAAGGAAGGAAGGAAGGAAGAAGGAAAGAAGGAAAGAAAGAGTTGTGTTGTTCTGGACATCAAATGTTCCTCAATCCTAGATCAAGAACAAGATTGTGTCTTAAGTAGGACAGGAAACGGAGGACATAGATGATGCCTTCCTGGAACAGATGGCCAAGCATGCAAAAGGAAGGGAGATAGTAGTAATGGGGGACTTCAATTACCCTGATATTTGTTGGATGTCAAACTCAGCCAAGAGCATAAGGTCAAACAGATTCCTCACTGCCCTTGCAGACAACTTCATTGTCCAGAAAGTGGGAGAAGCAACAAGAGGAACAGCCATTTTAGATCTGGTCCTAACCAATGTTGATGACCTGGTTAGTGGGGTAGAAGTGGAAGGATCATTAGGCGCGAGTGATCATGCTCTTCTGAAGTTTACTATACAGCGGAAAGGAGCAGCCAAGCATACTAGGACTCAATTTCTCGACTTTAAGAAAGCCGACTTCATAAAGCTTAGGGAAGTGCTGGGTGAGATCCCATGGACAGTAATACTAAAAGGAAAGGGAGTTCAAGATGGCTGGGAGTTTGTTAAGAGGGAGATAGTAAAAGCACAACTTCAGGCAATACCAATGAGACGGAAACATGGAAGGTGCCTAAAGAAGCCAGGGTGGCTATCTAAAGAACTTTTAACTGAGTTAAGATTAAAAAAGGATGTGTACAAAAAATGGAAAAGGGGGGAAACCACCAAAGAGGAATTCAAACAAATAGCCAGCACGTGTAGACACAAAGTCAGAAAAGCTAAAGCACAAAATGAACTCAGGCTTGCTAGAGAGGTTAAAAGCAACAAAAAAGGCTTTTATGGGTATGTTCGTAGCAAAAGGAAGAACAAAGAAACCGTGGGGTCACTCAGAGGAGAAGATGGTGAAATGCAAACAGGGGACACAGAAAGGGCTGAACTCCTCAATGCTTTCTTTGCCTCAGTCTTCTCCGATAAAGAAAACAATGCCCGACCTGAAGAATTTGGAGCAAATGATTCAGCAGAGGAAACACAACCCAGAATAACTAAGGAGATAGTACAAGAATACTTGGCTAGTCTAGATGTATTCAAGTCTCCAGGGCCAGATGAACTGCATCCAAGAGTATTAAAAGAACTGGCAGATGTGATTTCAGAACCACTGGCAGTCATCTTTGAGAATTCCTGGAGAACAGGCGAAGTCCCGGCAGACTGGAGGAGGGCAAATGTTGTCCCTATTTTCAAAAAGGGGAAAAGAGAGGACCCAAATAATTACCGCCCAGTCAGTCTGACATCAATACCAGGGAAGATTCTGGAGCAGATCATTAAGCAAACAGTCTGTGAGCACCTAGAAAGGAATGCTGTGATCACCAATAGTCAGCATGGATTTCTGAAAAATAAGTCATGTCAGACTAACCTGATCTCGTTTTTTGACAGAATTACAAGCCTGGTAGATGAAGGGAACGCAGTGGATGTAGTCTACCTTGATTTCAGCAAGGCATTTGACAAGGTGCCCCATGATATTCTTGTAAAGAAGCTGGTAAAATGCGGTCTTGACTATGCTACCACTCAGTGGATTTGTAACTGGCTGACTGACCGAACCCAAAGGGTGTTCATCAATGGTTCCTCTTCATCCTGGAGAAGAGTGACTAGTGGGGTGCCACAGGGTTCTGTCTTGGGCCCGGTCTTATTCAACATCTTTATCAACGACTTGGATGATGGACTCAAGGGCATCCTGATCAAATTTGCAGATGACACCAAACTGGGAGGGGTGGCAAACACCCCAGAGGACAGGATCACACTTCAAAACGACCTTGACAGATTAGAGAACTGGGCCAAAACAAACAAGATGAATTTTAACAGGGAGAAATGTAAAGTATTGCACTTGGGCAAAAAAAATGAGAGGCACAAATACAAGATGGGGGACACCTGGCTTGAGAGCAGTACATGTGAAAAGGATCTAGGAGTCTTGGTTGACCACAAACTTGACATGAGCCAACAATGTGACGCGGCAGCTAAAAAAGCCAATGCAATTCTGGGCCTCATCAATAGGAGTATAGCATCTAGATCAAGGGAAGTAATAGTGCCACTGTATTCTGCTCTGGTCAGACCTCACCTGGAGTACTGTGTCCAGTTCTGGGCACCACAGTTCAAGAAGGACACTGACAAACTCGAACGTGTCCAGAGGAGGGCAACCAAAATGGTCAAAGGCCTGGAAACGATGCCTTATGAGGAACGGCTAAGGGAGCTGGGCATGTTTAGCCTGGAGAAGAGGAGGTTACGGGGTGATATGATAGCCATGTACAAATATATAAAAGGATGTCACATAGAGGAGGGAGAAAGGCTGTTTTCTGCTGCTCCAGAGAAGCGGACACGGAGCAATGGATCCAAACTACAAGAAAGAAGATTCCACCTAAACATTAGGAAGAACTTCCTGACAGTAAGAGCTGTTCGACAGTGGAATTTGCTGCCAAGGAGTGTGGTGGAGTCTCCTTCTTTGGAGGTCTTTAAGCAGAGGCTTGACAACCATATGTCAGGAGTGCTCTGATGGTGTTTCCTGCTTGGCAGGGGGTTGGACTCGATGGCCCTTGTGGTCTCTTCCAACTCTATGATTCTATGATTCTATGATTCTATGATTCTAGGAAGACATCCCAACTCACTTACCACAACACATCATGCAGGCTGCCTCTGACAACTAATCTGAAGCAGAATGCAATGGACATTGCTCACTCCAAACACATCTCACTAGTCGCCACAGCTTCACTGGCTGCCTATCTGATTCTGGGCCCAATTCAAAGTTCTGGTGTGTACCCCCAAAACAGCCTGCGCCAACCTGGTGCCCTCTAGATGTTTCGAACTACAACTGCCATCAGTCCCAGCGCTGGCCCACCATTCAAGTACTTTTTAGTCCAGTTCTACAATGCTATATTGGAATTAACAGCACTGTTCTATAATGGCAAAGAGACAACCTCATATTTAGCATTCTCGTCTGTTCTAGTTATAGCAACGCTCCCGGCTTTCTGAGGGTATATTTAAAATGTACACCATCATCAGTTTTCCCAGTGAAATGTTGAAATTGTGAGTTGGTAAAGGTAGAATAGGGACGCAGGTGGCGCTGTGGTCTAAACCACTGAGCCTCTTGGGCTTGCCGATCAGAAGGGCTTGTCCGTATATGTCTGTCTCCGTATATGGCAGCTTCTTCAATTCCTATTCCTGCTTTTCATTTTGTTGGGAAGTTTAGTGTTCATTCTCCAGGCTGCCGTCATGCAGACATGGCAATTCAGAACAATTCACACATGCAGAGACACCAAGAGTTCTTTTAAATGAAAAGATGTTTATTAAAAGTGCTTTTAGTTTGTGGTAAAACTACAGTCCCGAGTCCTTGTGATACAGTACAGCTATATACTAAAGGTCCTCTAAAAATAGTTCAAGCAACAAGATTAGGCACATGACCTGCAGTGCCCTATTAAAAACATAATAATTTGGCCAGATCAACTCTATTGATCAGGAGGCAAGTGCTTCAGTTTCTGTGCATTTACTGGCGTCTGTTGCTGTTCATAGCAGAGGTAGAATGGCTGGGGGCTCCAGGAGGGATACTTGCATGTACCTGCGAAGGAAGAAACCACTCAGTACAAAGAGTTAGCAAACTCCCCATTGATAATTCTGCAGCACTTCAAGTACTCAAGATTAGCAGATTGCGTAATCTTTGATTGGGAAATCTGCACTTGATATAAGTTAAAAAAGAGAGAAGATTCACATCCATGACTGTGGGGGTTATTTTGCTATTCGCAAGTGCCTAGGAATCTCTACTTCTGTAAAAGAAAACACGCCTGTGTCTCTGGGCCCTTCTGATGGCAGCTGTGTTCTTATTGCTTATCGCTTGGAGCATCCTCAGGGGAGAAGCAATTTCCAATTTTTTTAAAAAAAAAATTCCTTGGAGAAAATAAGCCTGAAAGCATATAGGCAACACCAAGCGAGATATCAGAAAGGAATTCTTAACAGATTTCCTGTGGTCACAGGGGAAGCTACCATTTAACAGTTTCGAAAGCTTCATGAGTCTGACAAAAATCAATTGTTCTTAGTACAAAGTTTAAATTGCATGTGTGTGGCACTCATTATATACATCCTGCCCACGCTTTTGAGCCAGGCTGCATGTCATGCTAAGACAGAATGTTATGAGGATGAGATGCAGCAAGCCTTAGGCTCACCCATCGCCTAATCTTCCCTCCGGCGGCTGCTTCAGAGTTTGGAAGCTCTCCCTCCTCTTTTTGGATTAACTTTGAACTTCATGGATTGTTCGGATCCAAACAACTGCGGCTAATCCAAACTGTTGTCTTGTTTCAACAAGCCATTTCAAGCCACGGGTTAAGCAGCTGGTTTGTCCGAACAAGCCATTGTTCACGTTCAACCACGGTTTAAGGGTTTCAGAGGCAGGCAGTGCTGGAGTCAATATAAAATGGAAAGGGAAGTGTCCAAATTCCTCCTCTGAAAGTGGCAGAGAGGGGAGCCCACGAGCCCAAAGCTATCAGCGGCTCATCCTCCTCAGTGAGTCATGGGCAACCTCTTTCTCATTGAAGGGATGCACTCTTTTTGGGCCAAATCTGCCAGGGGCTGCCCAGGGTCAAAGTTAGTGGGAGGCAGGGCAACCTCTTTTCTATCATTATATGACCCCTATTCTATCCCTCCTGCCCTTCCTCTTCCCCACTAACCAGTAGGCTACTGGGCAAGAGACAGGTGATAATACAACCGCCTGGAAAAAGCAGAGGGCTAACAGAGGACTTTTGAAATTAAGCCAAGGGCCAGGTGCAATCCTAGTCTCCCACCCTTGCAATACTGCTAAACTATGGTTTGGCATGATTTGCAACCTCTCTATTATATTCCCACATGCTTCCCAGCTTTCTTCCTCTTCTAACAGCCGTTATTTCCACTGGTCACAATTTTACAGAGGTGTTCAGAAAGCAGTTGTTGGCCCAAGAACTTACTTAGCCAGCTTGTATTTCTCCCTTATCGCTTGCTGTGGTCGATGTGGAGCGTCAAGGCAGGCTTTGTGCAGGTCGCTTAGGCAAGGCACTATCTCACCTAGTGAGTAGCCAGTGAAGGCCGCAAGGGTATCTGGCTGATCAGAAGAAGAGAGATTAGAGTTTTATTATTCCATTCAGGTAAGAACGTGTCACAATCACATACGCTTGGAAAGAGACTCTTCTGCGTTGAGCCAGCATCAAGTTAGGAGAGGCCTCATCTCAACCTCACTCAATAGCATTGTTTCAACTTTTCACCAATTGCTGCTGGGTACAAGGGAAAAAGGCTGCTTGAATAGGCAAGCACAGAGCAAAATCCAGCAGAGAAGCTCCACTCACATCAGGTAGACCCCCTACCCCAATTATTCCAGTGCAGTGTTTCCCAAACTTGGGTCTCCAGCTGTTTTCTCTGACCACTGGTCCTGCTAGCTAAGGATGATGGGAGTTGTAGTCCAAAAACAGCTGGAGACCTAAGTTTGGGAAAAAACTTTTTTAGGGGAAAGGGCTGTGGCAAAACACATGCTTTGGGTGCAGAAGGTCCCAAGTAGGGCGGGAAAAGAGACTCTGGTATGAAATTCTGAAGAGCCACCAGCAGCCATTGTTGGCAATACTGTGCTATTCAGATCAATTTGCTGACTTTGTATAAGGCAGCTTCCTTATGCTCCACTTGTACGCAATGCAACCTTGGTTTTCCACCGCCCTACACAGAAGGTGGTGGCTCCTTTCATGAGAAGCAGCCCATACTAAAGTGCACCGCCCAGGAAGGGACACTGCAGAGTTTTGCTTTCAACGTTTATTTTTTATACCAGCCATATCCTTTACCTCACAAAATTCCTAAAGCAGATGTTGGGAAGGTGCCAGTGAAAAATCTCATTTATGCCTATAAAGTTAATAAGGTAGCAGGTGTAGAACAGATGCAGCAACAAAGATCCATTAAGGTCAACTAAACCCATAGGAGTGCCTGGTGTGCTTTGGTCCATGAGGTCACGAAGAGTCAGACATGACTAAACGACTAAACAACAAAACAACAACAAACCCATAGTTGTTTTTAACCCAGAAAGCTCCGGAGTTCATTTCTCTGCAGAGTTAATAGCCTCCTGAGTGACAAAAATGTAATTGTGTTGGACTGAAGGATTTCTACTGCGTCAGCCATTTCTTAAGTTTGTTGCTTTAAAAAAAAGGGAAAGCTAAAGCTTGTGTCAAGGCAGCTTCCCGTTTTGTATCCAGTTTCATTCTTTGAAGGGTTTGAACACACCGGGAGCCAGCAAGCTGTAAGGAGTTGGTTAATATTCAAAAGTCAGGCTTACCCAAAAATGCCTGTTCACGGTGTAGTTTGCAAGACAGTAAGCAGCTGCTGCCATTTGTGAGGGAAGGTACTTCAAGAATGGATCAGCTTCAAGGAGACTCAGCTCTGCTACATACTAAAGAGAATTGGACACCATTTTAATCACAGGGAAATCAAGAGAGATTCAAGTCTATCCCATAGTTTCTCTACCAGCCTTCCAGATGTTGGACTGCAACTCCCATTATCCCTAAACATTGGCCATGGTGATTTTATAGCTGGTGTTTATATATTTTGGTGTTTTTAGTTCGATGGGAAGGAGGAGGAGGAGGAGGAGGAGGAGGAGGAGGAGGAGGAGGAGAAGGAGAAGAAGACGACTAATAATAATGTCACCATTTGTTGAAAACTGATGGGCCACAGCAACAGCAGGCATTTAAAGTGCTCTTATAAAGTACTCTTTAAGAGCATGACTTCCCCCAAAGAACACTGGGAACTGTAGTTTGCCAAGGGTGCTGAGAAGTATAGCTCTGTGACGGGTCTAACAACTCTCAGCACCTTAAACCAGCTATAGTTCCCATGACCTTTTTTTTGGGGGGGGAGGGGAGCCATGACTATTTGAAGTGGCATGGTAGTGTTTTAAATTATGGTGTAGTTGTGACCATGGTCAACACTGTAAAACATGTCATCCATAGTTCAGTATGGACTAATAAGTGTGACTAGACCCAATATTTAGTTTAGCAGATTTAGAACATTTTTATAAATCTAAACTAGTGCTGCAAATTGCTTGTGAGTTTTGTTTTGCCCCAGTGGCCCAGGAAGGGGAAATGTTTCCTCTTAACTTACCCCCCCCCCAATTTGTGTGAGAGAGCTCTCTCATAGATTTCTACTGCCCATGGCTACCTCAGTCTCAGTTTTGGTCAAGAATGCTGGTCACCACTGAAATGCAGACAGACAGACGCAGGACTGGACAGGGGCACAACAGAGGCAGCAGGCGAAGACTGAAACTGAAACCAGCTCAGTCAGTAGAGCATGAGACTCTTAATCTCAGGGTCGTGGGTTTGAGTCCTACATTAGGCAAAAGATTCCTGCATTGCAGGGGAGTTGGACTAGATGACCCCCATGGTCCCTTCCAACTCTACAATTCTGTTAATTCTACGACACATATCCTTCTCTAGAGAAGATGCAGCTGGAGGGGCACTGGCATCAGGGAAGTTAGGCTAATGATTTTTTCTTATTATTACTTGGTCTGGATGTCCTTTGAAGTGTTTGCCATACAGGTCATATCCTTACCCTTGCAAAGTTCTCTGTCTTGATGCTGACACCATGAAGTTGCAAATACTGGAAGAGAAACTGATTGATGGTTGGAACAGTCAAGTCAAAAGCAAGGACTTTGAGGAGAAGGTGTTCCATTTTGAGCAGCTGTTTTTTAGTGTAGGTATCATCGGTTATATACACAAATTCTTTGACTTCTGGTGGATAGATTTCTTCATATTTCCTGGGGATCAGGAGAAATAGCAATCTACAAAGCCTTACTGCATATTTTAAATTCTGCTTCATTAAGATAATCCCTTGGCCCCACCATCCTGAGACTGCCAGGCACAAGAGAAACAGGGTCTTCTCAGTCGTGGTCCCACACTTTCAGAACCACTTCAAGTGATTTGTATACTGCACCACCAGCACAAGCATTATGTTATCATTATGGCCTAAACAAAAGAATCTGTTTATACCTTTCAGAATAGACTTCATTCAGACCAAGATAACATTAGGCCAGGCTCCTGGAATATGTCTTGGTCCCTATGCAAACCTGTTACTGAACCATTTGGATGCTAACCATAAAATGGTCCCAATCTTAAAGTATGTAAACACTCTTAAGAATTTGAACAAAGTTTTCATTCACCAGCTGGAAGAGACGACCCATTGAATGTTAGAACAATGGACCAATAGTACAGATGTGAGTTAACTGTAGTCACAAAACCGATAATAAAATTTGATTACATAAGATAAATGCACCCTTAGTAAGTTATATTATATTTATTCTGCACTTCCTTCAAGCAACTCATGTTGACATATATGATCATCTCTCCTTCTCCTTATTCCAATAACCACCCTGTGGGATAGGTTAGACCAAGAAGTAAGCAATTTGATACAAGGTCATCCAGTAAGTTTGATCCAGTATGATTCTGGGTCTCCCGGACTAATCCCCACACAAATAACTAAAGCATACCAACTTGTTTGATTTCCTCACTCTCTGAACTTGGGATCCACAAACTATTCAGGTGGATTAAGGTTGTAGATGCAAGTGAAACATTTGCTTGCTAAAAAAATGTACCTACAGTGATTTTAGCAGCAACTGAACATCACTGGGAGCTGCTCACAGGAGCCACCGGCAATGAAATAGCAAGTGAAAACCCACTTTGTCCTGCAAACCAGTGATGGGTCCAAACAACATCTGAAGACTGTTAGCCCACTCTCCAAGTATCTCTATGGGGAAACAGGGTTGTAGTCCATTGGCAGAGCACAATGGAGAAGGCGCCAGGCTTCAATTCTTGGCATCTCCCAATTTGGCCTGGGCAATAGCCCTGTTTGTAACACAGGAGTGTAGACAGTAATGACCTAGAATGGCGCGGGGAACCTGCAGCCATCTACACGGATTCCAGCTCTCATCAGCCTCAGCCGGTATTGCCAGTGGCAAGGAATGATGGGAGTTGGAGTCTAGCTGGAGAGCTGCAGGTCCCCCCACCCATGAGCTAGATAGACTAACTTGGAATAAAGTGGCTTCCTGCCTTTGCTAGGACACATGAGCACTCGAGAGACAGATCCGGACAAGTCTCACCAGGTGTCCCTAAACAGTTGTCATCTGCCAAAGGTTTGCTCACTCATGCAAGCCTACTTACGCAGCTAGGAGAACTGCCGCCGTTCCCACAAGCTGAAGCTTTCCTCTGAGGACAGACATGCAAGAGAGAAAGCGGTCCAAGTAGTTCACAGCAAGGTACACCGTTTCAGTACGAAGCTTATATTCTTCACCGACTTCTACCAGCCAGTCCACCAAGATTGCACGCATACTCGAGGTGATATCAGGCTGCTTCCTCAAGTAGCATGCTCTGGGCCTGTATTTCACCTGCATGGAAAGAGTTCGGCCTCAGAATAAGGAGGTGTAAGAGTGTGTGTGTGTGTGAAGCCCCTCTGTGAGTTAATTTACAGGAAGTTTGAATTCAAGATGTCCATGATACTAAACCAAGACTCCAGAGGGCAGGACTAAACTTGCATTTGAGTGCAATTTAGGCTCCATAAGCTAAAGTTCATACTCACTGCATGAATATCAGAAAGAAGGGAGGAAGCAGAGTGCATGTTACACTGGTGCTATCTCTGAGCCAAGGCTACAGTGAGCTCCTTAAAAGCGCCACTCACTTCAGCTTCTCTCAAGTAGCGATGAATATCTTCTGCATATTCCGCAGCACACATGACGTCCTCTTTATAACACTGAAGATCCTCATCTTGGGACTGCAACGACTTATCCACCAGCATCGGAGAGCCTGGATTCACCAACATATTACCGGGAAGAATGATTTTTAAAATATATTTAAAAAATGTTAAGTTAGCCATTAGTTTCAGTGTATGCTTCCATCAGCAGAAGTCATAAACCCTTAGATTTCTTGGATGTTATAGGCAACATACACTGTAATTTAAAAAGAAGGCTTAGTAGGCTATGGTTTTCCAGACATTGTTGGAGCCCAACTCTCATCAGCCCCAGCCAGAATGGCTACTGGTCAAGGGCCAACAACCTCTGGAGGGTCACAGGTTTCTACCATCATCAACACTGCCCCTGCTAGGCCATTGGACGTACCTGTACTCAAGCTCAGCAGCAGGTGAATGTTGGGTCTTCGGGTGCAGGTATCAACTTCACACATGCTGGATTCTTCCACAGCCATACAGCTGTACCTGTTTTTCCCTTCCACTTCATCTCTGTAAACAACAAAACCTTGCTTGGACGCCACGCAGACTGGCATCATATTCTTGCCAGTAGTTAAAGCAGGACAGACATTTTCAGATCCAGAGAAGCCTCTCAGCCTGTTTGCTCCCTGAAAAGAAGAATGAGAATCTTCTTGGTAGGGACAGCCTATATTCCTGCTTCAAGGAGTGCAGGAAAAGATGCATTTCAGTTCAGTTCGCTTACAATATTTCCATGCCGCTTTTCGCTCAAACGAATCACAAAGCAGCTTGCAAATAATAAATAGCAACAACGTAATAGTACAGTGGTACCTCGGGTTAAGTACTTAATTCGTTCTGGAGGTCCGTTCTTAACCTAAAACTGTTCTTAACCTCAAGCACCACTTAGCTAATGGGGCCTCCTGCTGCTGCTGTGTCGCTGGAGCACGATTTCCTTTCTCATCCTGAAGCAAAGTTCTTAACCTGAAGCATTATTCCTGGGTTAGCGGAGTCTGTAACCTGAAGCGTATGTAACCTGAAGCGTATGTAACCTGAGGTACCACTGTACATCACAAATACAACACGAATCGTATAGAGTAAGTAACAGATCGTCAGCAAAACAATGGCAAATAATCAGTAAAACAGACACATTCTATAAAGCCCTATTAACTAAAAAAATAATAAGTGAAGCAGCACAAACCCAACAATAGTCATCTTATAAGATTCACAAAGTACTCCAGCACTCATAATTCACAAAGCAATATTAACCAAAGGAAAGCTCTCTTGCAAATGTGGAAGTCCTTGCACAGGATTTCTGTTGGTCAGGCTCCCTTAATGTTTTACTGGCCAATTAAAACAGATGGGCAGCATACCATGGCTTTCTGATAGCAGATAGCTCAGTAGGTAGAGCATAAGCCTCTTAATCTTAGGGTTGTGGATTCAAGCCCCACGTTGGGTGAAAGATTTCTGCATTGCATTGTAGGGGGTTGGATGAGATGACCACCATGGTGTCTTTCCAACTCTACAATTCTATGATTCACAACCTAGCAACCAAAAACAAACTAAGCACTGTTGAATTTCTCTGTCTCTGTCTCTCTCCACCCCCACGACTCAATCTTCCACTCAATTCATCAATAGACACATACACACAATGCCCCTGGCAGCAACTCCCTTCGTAAGGCCCCTAGGGCTGGAGGGCGGGACAAGGCAGGTAGAAAAAGCCCTTGTCTGATGGCCAGCACAAAGTTTCATTCCTCTCACAGTGCTTCTGGAAACAGCTCCCTTATGAAGGCTGGAGGGTAGAGCAAGACATATGGATTGTGGCCTCTGGAAGCCTTCAGTTCTCCAAAACTGTAGTTTGAGAGCCCATGGTGCTCCTTCTTGCTGAGGGCCAGCAGGACAAGGGAAATGCGAGAGGTCTTTCCCAGATCAAGCCAAAAAATACTCCTACATTCCAATGTAGCTGCACAGAACTTGCAAGAATACAAGGAGTGGGCAGAATGTAGGTACAAGTCTGTGACACTGATCTGTCAGTGAATACGCCACTGACAATAGTGCAGGAGTTTTAATCTTATGTTGCTTCCTACTTGGTTGCTCATTGGCAAGAAAACATAGCTGCTTGCAAAAAGCTATGGAAGGAGTCTTGGCTTGTTCACACTGAAGGGTGTGCGACTTGTTTAAACTGCATCCTAGTACACCGAAACACAAGTAAAATATACTCAGAGTCCTGCAGTGATTTCATGCTCTTTACTGCAGCTTGTAAAACAGTGATTCAATTTCCCCCCAAACCTCAGGCCTTTATATACATTATTTACACAATGAGTCCCGTCTGATTGGCTGATTCTGCTTCCCTCCCGGAGCCTGATTGGTCTTCTCCTGCAGGCCAATCAGTTGTTGCATTCTACAATCCTAATAGGCTGATTAACTTCCTCCTGGAGCCTGATTGGTCAGCTCCTGCAAGCCAATCAGTCGTTGCATTCTAGGATCCTACCTGCCTATTGTTCTAGGATCCAAGCTTAGTACATAACAATAAGTTAATGCATTGTGAAAGAAGGTGGGCAGGGAAGACTCTGAAGCAGAAGGCAGCCTGCAAATGAGCTGGAAAACTCCAACAAGAAACAGAGACTAAAGTTAACGGCAAATCAGTATTCCAAGAGAGCCCTGGCAATCCAGCACCAGAAGACATTTTGGTTTTGAAGCAACCATCATTAGTACTCCATATCAGTACAGAACACTGCATGGTGTGGCTATTTACCATTCAGCACGTAGAGACACTGTGTCCGTAATTTCCATGACTGAATACCAGGCGTTTCAAGCTACACAGAGACGGGGTGGGAGGCTGGGGAGCTCAGCCAAAGTGGTTCAGCCAGGCTAGTCTTGTAGCATCTTAAAAAGACATGCATTTAACTGCAGCACAAACCTTTGGAAACGGAAGTCCACAATTTCGATACAGAAGCATTGCCCTCAGTTGGTACACAAAGTTATAGGTAAAAGGTAAGGTAAAGGACCCCTGGATGGTTAAGTCCAGTCAAAGGAGACTATGGGGTGCAGCATGCACCTTGCTTTCAGGCCAAGGGAGTCGGCATTTGTCCACAGACAGCTTTCCGGGTCATGTGGCCAGCATGACTAAACCACTTCTGGCACAACAGAACACCTTATCTTTTACACATAGTTATAATACAAACAGGGAGAGAGAAAAAAGGCCACACAAGGCCAAGGGGGCTAGTGGCATTTCTACACAAACCTCACATGGCTGTGGACGGCAAATCTGCTTACTTTTTTTATATAAAAAATTATTATTATTATTTTTTAAAGTATAAACATACAACAAAAACCAATTCATAATCCAAATATTGAGATTACTCTGAATCTCCTGACTTCCTCCCCATCACTTCCACGGGTCCAATTCATAATATTTTCAACTGCGTATCAATACTTCTCCATTTTTTTGGTCTTTCTAAATTATCCATACATTCCGTTACATTACAAGTGTGGTTAAAATCCTGCCAATGTTTTAACCTGCTTACAATGATCTCGTATATAAATTGTAAACTTTCCCCATTCTTTTTTAAAGTTTTTGTCTTCTCGATTTCTGAGCTTCCCAGTTAATTTTTGCCATTTCGGCATAGTCCATCATGCTCTGCTTACTTTGCATACATGTGACCTCTGTATAAACCTTTCACAGTCTCTTGCATTTCATGGTTTTTAGACCCCCCCCCAGTTTACAATTCTCTCCACCCATATGTGCATAATATATATTATTTTTCACACTTAAAATGTCTCTGAAGACAACACTCTATGCGTCTGATAAAGTCCTCTGAAAGTCATGGTTATGATCAATTGCCAAACTTTTGAAAGGCAGGATAACAGCCTAGACAGAGCAGTGTTTCCCAAACTTGGGTCTCCGGATGTTTTTGGACTACACTTCCCATCATCCCTGACCACTGGTCCTGCTAGCTAGGGATGATGGGAGTTGTAGTCCAAAAGCAGATGGAGAAACACTGTCTGGGAAACACTGGCCTAGAGCATGGATAGGGAGGTAATGCCCAGGGGCCAAATGCAGTCCTTCAAGTCTCTCTACCAAGCCCTCAATACTCTCTCTCTCTCCAGGCGACACCACCCATCCAGCCACACCCCCTACCAGCCCTGCTTTGCACCCTCCTTGAGTGTTTTTGATTGGCAGGGTATATCCTTGAGCTCTGAGATTGCCTCTTGCTTGCTTGGGTGAAAGACAGAGAGGTGTATGGTTGATAACATGATACATAACATGCTAAAGGCAGTAGCCCATAAAGAACTGTTTGGTGGCTCAACACTCCTCCTTGGCACAACAGCAAAAACCTATATCTCTAAAATAGGGCAGATGCTGAAGTCTTGTCCCACTGAAAACCACAGAGAGACTTCTAGTCCCTCTCAATCCCTCGCTTCATTTCCAAGAAACTGAAGATGGAACCTTTCAGTAGTACTCGACCCACTGGCAGTTAAAAAGAGTGCATGCATTTTCCAGTGGTCCTACATTCCATAGCTCATGGCATGCGCAAACTTCTTTAACAGTCGCCCAGTTCGTTGAGTGCTGTTGAGCCCAAGGAACATACGTCAGTAGTACTGGAGCAAAAGAAGAGTCAACATCTCACAGTGCTGCTCTGTACCTCCTACAGAGGATGCCCTTTGCCAGCAGACATGGCATCCCCAAAGGGAAGGGCAACCTTTTCGAAACTGCTTTAAGTGTACAGTGCAGCTGGGACCTCAAGTCACACTATTCTCTGACCTGACATTCCTACAGCATTTTAACATACAAAGCCCAAAGGAGTTGCTGCGCTAGCAATAACACCACCACAACCCTAGCCATGTCTACTCACGAGTAAGTTCTAATAAACTCAAGTGGGCTTACTCTCAAGTAAACAGGATTAGAATTGTAGTTTAAGGGTTGGATGCTCAAAGCAGACCCAATAGAATGACCAACTTAAGTTGGTTATGTCCCTTGATTACAATACTCCAGGCGTGACTTGGCTAGATTTAACCCCAATAAACTGTAGGGTTGCCCAGAGTCCATGAACGCTCACGCCCTTAGAAAATCTGTTTAGTATTTAAAGTGCCGTAACACTTTGTTTTAACACAGAAAGTGTGTTACAGTTACCATTGGTCCATTTATTCCCACCTTTACCACTCCAAAAAAAAATATAAAAAAATAAAAAAAAATATCTCAGATTTCCTAAGCCCAGGTGCTAAAAGAACCTTCTGTAAGAGTTATCCAGGAATCCCAGTCTTTCATGATTTACCTGGACAGAGGGTCTCAAACACTGCCCATTTTCTGTCAGCTCCCCCAGAATAGCTCTTTGGTGGAGATTTTGATTGGTTCGAGGCTGTGCAACAGCCGGCAGGGCACCCCAAAGCTCATCTTGTGCCTTCTCATCACCATTGTTGCTGCAATGCATTTCCTCAGGGTCAGCAGCTGATGCTGGAAAGACAAAGAAACACACATTGAGGCTGCACCCACACGGCAGTCCTTTCCGTTTCCCTATTAATTCCTGCATTATATTTGAGCTTCTACCCAATATGACAGCCACTTCCAGAAACCTGGCAGAATGCAGTGGAAGTTTAGTGCTCCCTTTCTGTATTAATTGCTTCCAGGGGAACAAAATAGATTTGCAGCCCAATTAACCTAGAAAATCACAAGAGCAGTGACAAGATTTGGGGCCGCATACAGTTGTTCCTTCCTGCCGTTTTCATAGGAGAACCATGAGGAAATTGAAGCATGCATGTGCAGGAAGTGTGAGGAGTAGCAACGTTGTCTAATGACATTTGTTGTTGCGTCACACACACACACACACACACACACCCCGCTGGTGTAAATGAAGTTTACGGAGACATGCCCGCATCTCAGTCAAAAAGCCACAGTTACTGCATTGTGAAAGGTATGTTAGGAAACGGCACAGAGGCGGTAGCATTAAAATCAGAAAAACTAATGCAATATTTGAATGCACCCAATTTCTGACAATATCCTCAGATGGACTCCCTTCAAGAGCAACCCAACCCTGAAGTTGATTCTGACTTGACTCTTAGAAAACGGGAAATCTTCCCGTAGCTTTGTTTGTACAAGCCTGCCTTTTCTTATCTTTGCTCTCTCACTAGTGTTCCGATGACCCTCCATAAAACCAACTGAGGTACACAGAGAAATGTGTGCAAGATGCAAGACTCAGCGCAGTAAGCCCAAATCACAGGGGGAGCAACTTGTTTAAAAATAACAAAACCCTGGCAATATTAGAGATGGGCCGCAACCATCATGCAAGGTTCAAATGCTCACTGGGTGTTCACTGGGTGACCTTGAGCCAGTCGTAGTCTCACTTACCTCACAGGGTTGTTGTGAGGATAAACTGGAGAGCGAGAAAACCACATATGCCACTTTGAGCTCCTCGGAGGAAAAGGTGGGATATAAATGTAACAAACAAATTACTGCGGTATCCTTAGCCCCCAGAAAGCTAATCACATTAAAGAAAAGAAAGCAACCTTGGAATTACATGTTTCTTTAAAACTGGCATCCTTCCACCAAATAGCTTTACCTCGCTGAAACCAATGGGATTAAATCAGCAAAAGTGGCTCACAGTTGAAGGTCTCCTAAACTCTAAGGCTTAGAACCAAGTGCCACTGGATTTACCTCCAAGTAAACATGTCGAGGAATAAGGGATGCATCACCTTTGCCAAAAGCATGCCTTGCTGAACTTGGTGAAACTTACTGCCAAATAAAACATAGGACTGTGGTACTGGAATTAACCATCCAGGGATCCTTGACTTTTTTTTAACCTTTACTAAGTTTACAGAAGCCTGTTCTGGGATTTGATAACTCTATTAAGAGATATTACAGAGCAAGTTTTATTATTATTATTCAAAACACAAACACCCTTCCACTCTGCAGCACCATTTTCTAAAAAAACAGAGCTCTTTTTCTGCTGGTCCTGTGGTAGCTGAAAGATGACCAGGTGCTCCCATAGAGAGCTATCATAGCATTGTGGTCACACAACCCTGGAGCAAGTGACCTGGGCCCATCTCACCCCGCCTGCAGGCAGCGCCAGTTACAAATTACAGAGGCTGCTGGAGGCAATAACTGCAGAGGGGTCTACTTGGGAATCACTAAGTGAGGCAAGGGCTGTGGCTCAGGAGTAGAGCATTTGCTTTGAGACCGCTGGTTCCATCCCCAGCCCCTCCAGGTAGGACTGGGAAGGCACACTCCCTTATCTGAAATGCTGGAAATATGGACTATGTTCAGCTACATGGACCAAAGGCAACGTCCCAAGTTTCTAGTCCACTGTTCCCAACGTCCCAAGTTTCTAGTCCACTGTCTCCAACTTCCCAAGTTTCTAGTCCACTGTTTCCAGCGATTGCCCCAAGGCACCTGCGCAGTGAACGCTCCGACCCTGCCCGAAACGAAGCCCGGTCTTCAAAGACACCCGCAGGAAAGCTACCAACCACCCAACCACCCTGGCAGCGTCTCCCTAAACTCTGCCCGGGGACCCCTGCGGACCCTCGCCGCGCCTTTGCCCACCTGCCTTTCCCCACCCGCAGCGGAGGCTGACGCAGGCGGTTCTTCCTTGGTGCCTGAAGGGGGCGCCCTGCTCCTTCCCGGCGCAGCGCAGGTGGGGACTGGTGGGCAAGGACTCGAAGTGGCTCCCGGGCGCCGCCTGCCGAGCCTATATAGGCGGCGGCCAATCAGTGGAGACCGCCGTCGCACCGCCCCTCCGGGTGCGCCTCGGCGTGCGCGCTGCTTACTTTCAAGCCGCCCGCGACTGTTGGGAGCAGCGGCCAGTTGGCGCAGGCACCGCGCTCGCCCGCCCGCAGGCGGCAGGCTGCTCCCGTGGCAACCGGAGATCTTGCGGGCGAGAGGAGGAAGCCGGATCTCTCTCTCTCGCCGTCCGTTTTCCTGCCTTTGCCTTGGTGCGCTGCGGAGGTCAATGCCGGATTTACGTAGAAGCTTAACAAGCTATAGCTTAGGGCCCCATTGTCTTGAGACACCCCCCCAAAAAAAAATTAAAGGGAAAAAACTGGATGTACATTTCCAAAAAATACATATTTTGTTATGTGCATATGGCTTCAGATACCTGTTGGTCCATAGATTAGCATATATTCAACACAAAAAATAGCAACAATTTGTTGTTGACAAAGGACAGCTGGACATACAAAGGGCCCCATAACCTTCAGTAGCTTAGGGCCTCATCAAACCTAAATCTGGCCCTGGTCAGGCCAGGTACACAATCTTGCGCTTTAAAACGAAAAGCGCCTCTCAGGTTGTGTGGTTAATACCCAATCATTCCTATATAATGTGCAAGGCGAAACATTTTAGAGATTCTACCCATCCATGATAAAAGACGGCAACTTGACAGGGTTGCATGCTACTTGTAGCAGACTTCCCATTTATCCTTGTAAGTGCTCTTCTGTTGCTGATAGAAGGCACCCTTTTTTAAGAAGATCCCAACGATGTGAGCATTTTGACTCCCTGTAATTCTGAGGTCAGGTATTGAGTGCCAACAGAAACGGGAAGCAGCCCAACTGGAAAGCTTGGGTAACCCCGGGGGTTTGCAAAACCACCCAAAAATAAATAAAAATGCACACACAGACTGTAAAACAACAGAATGTTTGTAAATATTAACTTGCTCATTCCTCTTTTCCTATCACATAAGAAAACTGCTAAAGATCCTCAAGAGGCTTTGTAGCAAATATTTCAAACTGTGACTTGATGCCAGATGTAAATCTGAGAGCAGCACTGCTTTGCCATTTATCCGTTAGTTAAAGGAAAAAACGAATAAAGCCAAGTCTTGAGGATCTAATTATTCTCCTTCCTTGGTTTCCCTCTGTGTGTTTGAGAGGCTGTTCAAGACTCCCTGCTTGAGATCATCAGGGCTGCTCTTCGTAATTAATGTTTCGTGCCAGTCTTTAGTGGTTTGAAGGATGGAGAGCTGCAATAACAGCAGATATGTAGTGCCAAACGCAGTCTATGAGATTCCTTCAAAAACCTGGGAGAGGGAGGGATACTTTTTAGAGTAAAAAAAAATCCAGGTATCTCATCTGAGCTACAGATACTTATGTTTCTCTTCCTGTTCAGGATTTTTCTGAGTTGTTTCCATTTTAGGGAAGCACATAATGCAACCTCAGGAGATGCTTTGTACCATTGACACTCCTATCTCCAGAGACCTTGGTAAGCACCTGTGTTTGTTTGCTTCTGCAGTAATAATACTGCTAAGCTTTCATTTTATTCTATGTTTAAAATTATTTCTACTTTGGCTTTTGGCTGCCAAGAAGGACTTGCAAGTGCTTTATGAGTTCAAAACACTTTGCAGTCATTATCTCAGAAATTGCTACAAGAAGTCTGAAAGGTAGGACTGTTGTATTATCCCTATGCTATTGGTATCACTTTCATATTTCACGCTCTCCAAAGAGCTGGGGGGGGAGGGGGAGGGACGATAACATACTGTGACTTACAGCACAACCTTGTGCATGCCTACTCAGAAGTAAGCCCCATTGAATTCAATGTGACTTGCTCCCAAGTAAGTGTATAGTGGAAATGCAACCCCAGAGAGGGGAGTTTCTGAGTGAGGCAGGATTTTAGCTGGGATTTCTTCACTCATTTGCTAAATAGATTTCACACAAGCTTCAGCAAGATTGTTATTTGTATCATACAGCGTTCTACTGTCCTTAATGAGGCTTACTCCCAAGTAAGTATGCATAAGATTGCAGCCACACTGCCCAATTCTATAGGTTTACTCAGGTGTCAGTCTTATTTATATTCAGTGGGATGTGTTCTTTTTTTTTTAATCTTTTATTAAGGATTTTCTTGTTTTACAGAACAGTGGGATGTGTTCTCAGGCAGGTTCAGTTGTGCTTCTGCACGTAGGATTTTGGCTTTGGTGTGATCCTGGCTTTCTGCCATTTCCCATTGCTGGTGGCTGTTGGGAGTACGGTACAGTGGTACCTCGGGTTAAGAACTTCATTCGTTCTGGAAGTCCGTTCTTAACCTGAAACTGCTTTTAACCTGAGGTACCACTTTAGCTAATGGGGCCTCCTGCCACTACCGCACGATTTCTGTTCTCATCCTGAAGCAAAGTTCTTAACCTGAGGTACTATTTCTGGGTTAGTGGAGTCTGTAACCTGAAGCGTCTGTAACTCGAGGTACCACTGTACATGTGGATGTGGAAGCAGAATAGAGAGAGAAACAGCGACACATCTTTCAACTCAGTAGATGTAAACAGAGTGAAAGTGCTCCTTCAAACAGAACTTGGCCCAAGAGCCATTTCTCCAAAGACCCACTTGGGTGGAATTTACACACACACAAAAAAAAAGTTCTGTATTTTAAAAAATACATTGAATTTTCCATAAGGCTCACCATCACCATCCAGTGTCACATTGCACTTAAAACGTTTTATTTGCAGCTGTACAGTTGAGTCCTTGGTGTTCTTTGCAAAGAACTGAACAGCGTGGCACCGGACAGTTCATCCTGTTTTTGATGCATTTCCTGTGGAAGCAAGGCCTTGGAAATGCTGAGAAATTGCTAGCAAGAGGCAGCACTTAAATAGAGCAGGGGATGAAGATTTTTAAAATTCTCTCTTTATCCTGTACTTCCTCCAAGGAATTCAGAAAGGACTTGGCTCTCATCCATCCCCAATTTATCCTTGCAACTACCCCATGGACATGGGCATAGCCAAGAATTTTGTTGGGGGGGGCAGGACTATTGTTGGGGGGCAGAACCAATATGATTGGTCAGTTAAGTATTTCTATCGTTTTACTTGATGGGGGGGACAAGGCAGCTGCCCCCCCCCTTGGCTGTGCCCATGCCTGTGGAGTCGATTGGGTTAAGAGAAAGTGACCAGCCTAGATTCACCTACGGTGATTTGAAATTCACACCCACACTGTACATTTAAAGCATATGCTTCCCCCAAAGCATCCTGGGAACTGTAGTTTGCTACAGTTCTGGAAACTGAAGTCCTCTGACAGGTAACCTACCCTTCAGCTATGGTCCAGCACACCAGCCCCTATCCCACACTGACCTTCCTCTGAGGAAGGGGCATAGCGCAGCCATAGAAGACCTGCATTGCATTCAGAAGGTCCCCGGCTCAGTCTCCAGCATCTTCAGCTGGGCTGGGAAAGGCCTTCCTGAAATCCTGGAGTCAGTGCAGACAATACCTGTGATCTGGTTCCGTATAAGAGAGTTTCCTATGACACTCGCAAGAGGGTATTACCACTGAACCTCTAGGGCTTACTGACTGGAAGGTTGGCGGTTCAAATCCATTACTCTGTCCCAGCTCCTGCCAACCTAGCATTTCAAAAGCATGCCAGTACAAGTAGATAAATAGGTACCACTGTGGTGGGAAGGTAAATGGCGTTTCCATTCTCTCTGGCTTCCATCACAGTGTCCTGTTGCACCAGAAGTGATTTAGTCATGCTGGCCACATGACCCGGAAAGCTGTCTGTGGACAAACACCAGTTCCCTCAGCCTGAAGTGAGATGTGTGCCGCAACCCCATAGTCACATTTGACAGGACTTAACCATCCAGGGGTCCTTTGCCTTTATCTTTTTATCCTATATTTATGTAATATTAGCATTCTTGGTTCTAGCACACCTTAATCCATAACTTTCTGAAGGAAATTAGCCCTGAGTGCTCACTGGAAGGACAGATCCTGAAGCTGAGGCTCCAATACTTTGGCCACCTCATGAGAAGAGAAGACTCCCTGGAAAAGACCCCGATGTTGGGAAAGATGGAGGACACAAGGAGAAGGGGACAACAGAGGACGGGATAGTTGGACAGTGTTCTCGAAGCTACTAAAATGACTTTGACCAAACTGCGGGAGGCAGTGGAAGACATTTGAGTGCCTGGCGTGCTCTGGTCCATGGGGTCACAAAGAGTCAGACATGACTAAACGACTAAACAACAACAACAACAAAATAAACATCAGAGAATCAACTCTGAGAGTGTAAAAATCCATTTACTTGATGCCACCTCTAGGGTGATAGCTTCAGATTTGCACTCTTCCCAACCCCAGCAAAATAATGATGTTTTATTTCTAAGGAACTTTTTGATAGTCTGTTTCAGCTGTAGACTTTCACAATCAACAGAAAACACACAGGGGACAAGGAATCATCTATCCAAAGTTAAGCACTTCTGCAACTCATTGATTTCAGTAGAATTTGTTGTTGTTGTTTAGTCGTGTCCGACTCTTCATGACCCCATGGAATCTCTTCCATTGCTCTCTCAATGAGACAGAAGTGCTTTGGCGGGGCTGGATCATTCCTCGCAGTATATTAATATAAAATACAGGCTTATCTGAAACTTTGTAATTCTTCAGGTCACACACCGCATCTCCACTGCCACCTACCATATGCTCCTAAATAAAATTATGTCTTATTTTAGATGAAGCCACACTGTACCTTTCATATATGGTCAGACTCCTTAAATAGAACTTCAGGGCATTACATCCAACTCTGGACAAACGTTTTACAGCCACATGCACACAGGTTTATAGCTCTGGCAGCAAATTACCTTCATCTAAGCCTTAAGGGGAACATTACCTCAAAGGGAAATTCATCTTTGTGATCATTTTACGTCCAGCGGTGTTACACAGAACAGACACCATAGTTTCCTTTAACTACAAGAGTACTAAGAAAGCATTTCGTATCTTCTGTTGGAAGTTAATTATTAGGCATGATGGACAACGTTGAGCTTGTAGCCCCAAGGTCAGCTGTAGCTTGGTATCATGCCTTTCATGAGTCAGGATGTATTAGCCGAACACTCTTCATAGCAGCGAACAACAAGTTCAGTACCAGTTCAGTTCTGGCACAACAAATTCCTGGGCTCAAAATCCTGTAATTCTAACAGTGCAATCCTACTGCTATCTCCTCAGAAGCAAGACCTGTTTACTTACTTAAAAAAAAAAATTAAGTTTTTTTTTTAATTGTCAAGCGTGTCAAGGTGAATGTGTGCAAGTTAAATGTGCATAAATTGTGGGC